CTTATACCTAAATGATGCATATGTAGTGCCTTACCAATAAATAGTGCATGAATATTGTCGTACCGGTAAAACTGAAAAATTTATCTTTATTTTTCAAATCTCTACAGTAATAGTATACCAATCAAGCAGAGAGAGAGAGAGAGAGAGAGAAAGAGACCAAGATGGCTTGAAGTAGCTTCTTGTTCGCCTTTTTCATCATCTTCACAGAGTGATCAAACCCAGAAGTTGGCTTCAAATGAGTGGAACGAGGAGAGGGGTAAATATGTCATTACCCATAGAAACCCTATCAGGTGGGACTTAAACCCATGCGGGAGGTGGGTTAATTTTAACACATGTAGGAGAGTTAATATTTATTGTAGCAGTCGGGTCAAGATTGGACCAAAGATTTATATCCTACCTCATTTTTGTCTTCCCAAACAAAGTATGTGTGGGTCCCACTACATTGTTAACCTTTCTTTATTGTATTAACCTACCTTATCCCACTATCCAAACACACCCCATGTACAACGCACATGTGCAACAACTAGTAAGAATAAATGTTCAAAATTTAAACAAATGATAAAATAAGTATAAAATCTTTACATATTTGAAAAGAAATAAAATGTTAATCAGTTATGTATTATTTAAGGAAGGGTAATTAAATAACATTGAAAAAAGGTAAATTGAATTGTATACCCAATAACAAGAAATTTATGTATAAGTAAACTTAATGAAGTAAAAATCTTATCAGTGAACTTTCTTTTAAATTAGTCTTAGAAAATGTACGCACACTCAATTTTTCATTTTTTTGTTGCAAAAAAAGCTAGCCTGCTGATCGTCTCTTTTTCTCTTTTGTTGAATGCACCTTTATGCTACCAGTTCACTCCTAAAATCTTATACGAATAATCTTTAGCACACACAAAATAAATTAGGTAATTTTTTTCTTCCCCCTAAAAGGCTAGCCTCCTAAGCGTCTCTCTCATGGATGTTTCTCTCTCTCTCTCCTCTTTAGCACATAAAAAGTAAATTAGGTAATTTTTTTTTGTTATTCTTTCTTATATAATTTTTATCTTGGCGAGCATATATATATATTTATCTTGAAGATCATATAATTTTTAAGTACATGTATTTTTGGTCTGTTGTATAGAATAAATTTTATTATTAAACACATCATTTATGATGTATATACTAATATTGATGGCCTAATTTTATTTTAAAATTTTTTAAAAAAGTTTTAAAAATTGAAGCTAACATTCCAATTGAAATACTAAACTAAAAAAAGAAGACTATTTTTTTTCTCTGAATACATGCATTGCTTATAAAAAAATTTTAACAATAGTTGCTTCAATTGAAATGAACTTTTCAAAACGTAAATTGATGAAATTTTATTTACAACGAACTATAGCACAAGAAAAATTGAATGGATTAACTATAATCTATTGAGAAAAAAGTATTGACAAAACTTGAATATAAAAACTTGATCAATATTGATTTTTGCATTTCAAAAAAAAGAAATTAATTTTTAAATCAGTAAAATATTAAAGTATGATAATTAAAAAATATTTAAATATATTAATATTAATAGAGTCTCAGGTAACATTTTTGCCTAGGGTCCCTATTTACGTTGGACCACTCCTGGTATAATCAGATACCGATACAACTTAACCAAGTCTTATCTGATTTGGAACCTTCCGATTTTATATTGTTTCACATTACACATAAATTAAAAGTCTCATTTGACACTGCTGTGTCGTCCAAGATAACTCTGAGTTAATGCAAGTCATTGTCATAGGAGTGGAGCTAGAAAAATTCATAAGGGTGAGCAACTTAATTTTTTTATTAATAAAAGTAAAATATATTTAGTATATCATATTCGATACATGAATATTTATTGATGGAAAAAATCAAAAAATCGAAAAGACTCAGATAAAAAAGAACAAAAAATTTGACTAATTGGCAATTACAAATCTTTAAAATGTGAGATGAGTTTTTATATTCGAAAGCATTCCATGATAAATTTACTATTTAGGTTATTGAAAGTATTTTTTTGTAATTCAAATTCTCAATCATCCATTCTTTTACAACCTATTTTCTCATAATATTTAATTTTTGATTTATTTTACAAACTATCGTCTAAGATTAAAATCATGGCTTTATACAAAAAATTTAGTATTAGATATAATAATACGATTGAAACTTAACTCAACCACAATAATCATTGGGAAAAGAAAAATAGAAATGATTAGTCGTACAAAAATAATAGTAGTCAATTTTAATTTCATATTAAGAACATAGAACAAAAAGAATCATAAATATGCAAATCAATACTAATTAAAACGAGTTTTAATACAATAAAAATGGTTACACATGTATATTGACCTATTGTAAAATTATTTTAACAAAAAAATACAATTAAAGCACATACATAATAAGGTTGGCACAATACAAATGTTCATAATATTTCCCAAATACACACACACACACACACATATACTAAAAAAAATTGAAAATGATGTGGCTAGACCAGGGCCCTCTTGGTCCTTAAGTAGATCAACCTCTGATACAATTATGGAACACGACCTCAATCTTTTGTCATCTTCAAATTCTTCTTTTATATAACATTTTGAAAGTATCGTACGAAACAATTCCGTGCCACCACTAATAATGCTTCTCACTACCATAAGAGTTGATGACCGATACCACTATCTTGAACCACAATTATTAGAAAATTGATCATGGAAATTAGTTATTCTCAGAAAACTTTGATGCAATATTGAAAATTAGCTATTCTCGTACAATGGACACAAAGTAGACCAACTGTGAATTCCCTAGGAAGTCGTAAATTATGACAAGTTTAAGGAGATGTTTGTGGTGTATCCTTGATGGGGACAAAGAGATCTGAAATTCTATGAAAATTGAAAAAAGACGGGGGATCGGTGAAAGTGAATGTGTGATGTCTTTTTATTCAGCTAATCTTGACTGAATATGCACTATAATTTTAGTCATTTACTAGTACGAAAATGAGATAATATTGCCTGAAAGCTTCTATGTATTCTTTGAAAGCATAGTGTTCCTGTATTGAGCACTGTAGGCAAAAAGCTCTAATTTTGTTAGGAATAAATAAACCATCATTCAACAGTCATGGCACGATATATGATTTCAAGAATTTATCAACCACTATAAGTCTGCTTAATGAAACCTTTTCTATTAAAAATATAGAAAATGATGGTAAGCCAAACTTAAGTAGCCTTCGATTTGCATGATATATTTGTTTCCAGCCCGAGGGACAGCCATTAGCTAGATTTTAATGAGAATTTATAGAACCCCAAATTGACTTGATTTAGTGTTGGAGCATAAGTCATTATCACATGACAAGAACCAATGGACAAGACAATGAATGCCCCTTATATGATGTTCAATGCACAAGACTTGATCTGAAGCCAGAGACACTACAATTTGATGTTCATATCATAGACCAGTGGTTGTTTACCTAATTTTGGACTTAAATCTCATTCCTGTTAAACAAAATATTAAGTAAACAAATGACATCTTTGAATTGAATTTATAGATATTACACAATCCACACAAAAAATGCAATTCAATTTCAACAGTTTTATGCATATCAATCAAAACAATGAACTACTACACCCACTGAGAATATTGTGTGTTTATACTCGGAAGCAACTTGTACCACTTCCAATCAATTTTTTTGTACAGATAAGTGGCAAATCTGTGAATAGAACCCCTGCAACTGAGAAGTGGTTGCATCTAACAATGCATTTGTCTTGCTTTCAATTCATTGCTTGAGCATGTTAATGTGCGGTGGCCACCAAGTTGCTCAGGCTGAAAGAATGGCCTCAAGTCAATTCACAAAACCTCTATTTATCTAACAGATCCAAGGCAAACATGAGCCCTCCTATACTCACTTCCGCTTCAGCTAAAAGATCGTGCTTAAATGAGAAACAAAATCAAAGAAAGAAACACGTTTAGACTGTTGTTTTGGCGAATTATTGTTAACAAAGTGAACTTGCAAGATACGAAGATCATATCATACTCCAAAAAAAGGCCTTAACAAGAAAACATGCATTCATCCAGTTACTAGGGAAGGGATCGCCCTGCTTTGTTATGCTACAAATATAAAAGGGATGTCCAGGTTTTAGAAAGCTCAGATTCTAAGACAGGACTAGCCCCATTGAGATACTTAGAATGAGAAACGCACCTTAAGAGTTACGTACCTAACATGAAGGAGGTTGTGTTGCAACTCCACCTCAAAGTAGAAAGAAAACTTGAATAATGGCATAATCATTCCAACCATGAACCTACTACAATTGGAATCACTTAATTGAAAGTCAAACAAATATAAATTCTATTGTGCTAGGTAGATAACTAAAGCATATTGGTCAATATTAGCTAATGGAGGATGTAGCATTAATCTGTATCTAGGCTCAAATTTTCTCGACAATCATTAAAATTGTCTTCAATTACTTGTTTTAAATCACATTTATGATCTTTTATTGTCTTAGTAACTATCCCTAGATTGTACTTGGTGACAAGTTTAACAACGACATCATACTGTCAATGGACCTGAATTAAGTTTCCTAAGTTTTACGGTGACATCTTTACTAATGCATAATGGAACTTGTGCTAGGATGGACTTCTTATTCAACCAATCGATTGGATGAACAGAAGGATTGTTGGAGTTGTGCCTCATAACTTGACTAATAGTGGGAAAATAACTATTAGATATTGAGACCATTGAAAAATATGTGAACTATAAAGTAACATGAACAGCAGCTGAAACTGTACAAAGAATATTTAGCATCCAAAATTGCAGGCAGCACCTGTTGAAATCCTTTAGGAACTGGCTGGCAGCCTATGAGTAACAAACTAAATGGAGCCAAACAAAAAAGTACATGCTTCAAATTAGTGTCTAGTAATTGTCCCTAGTGTACCAAAGACAAATATCCGCAATTACTGGTAATCTAACTCCAGTAATCATAAATCCTAATATCCACAGTTAGTCAAATTCTGGACACTAGATAGTTCGGTATCATGGAAATCACACTCCCTTGTAAAGCCTCTTCCTGATCACCATTCGATAGCTCTTCTTGATCACCATGCAGCAGCTCAGCAAGGAATTCCCTAGCAATACCATCCCAATTTGTGTTATCTGGCATAAATAGGTCAATGTAATCCCATGTTTCCAGAGCAGGCAACCAGCATTCTTTTGATATTGGAGACTCTGTTGCACAAGGCATGGCATTACTTTGTATTTGACATTCAAATCCGGTTCTTCCACCACAATCTAAAGCACCAACACTTGATTGGGGTGCCATTGTTGCATCTATGATAGATCCACATTGCGCAACTAGTGTTGTCCCCATGTTATTATTATGGCTCATGTATTCCTCATACTGATATCTTTCAAGTTGGGCCACCGAAAGGCTCGGCTCATTTTTGATTGCCTGCTGGGGAATAGCTTCACTACCATTTTCTACTAAGGCAGCCATGACACTATTTGGCACTTGAAATTTTGTAGATCCGTCTTATCCAGAATATAATGCACCAAATTCAGGGGTCACTGCCATGCTCATGTGTTGTTGATATGGATATCCTTCAAACTGGGCAACAGGGACACCCAATGCAATTTGCTCGTATGGTAGGGACGGTGCAGCTTCATAATGAAAATGATCTTTCGCTAACATGGCAACAAGTCACCCTTTACTAGTTCTTGAAAGTTGTCCTGTGACTGTGAGTGATTGGGTTTGTGGTGATTTCTTCTTCTTGATGCGGCAAAGAACATAGTTTTTGAACAAAATTCTTCCACTATTCAATGTAGAGTCGGGAAGGCTATACTTAGTCATGTTGTATCCGAGTTTGGCCATGGTCTTTGTGATCTCGTAAACAAAGTTTCTATTCTTCTTCTGTGGATCCAATATAGGACTCGCCTTATCAGAACCCTTCCACGTACACTTCTCGGCTACCACCGTGCATTTAATCCGCTGGCTGCTCATCTTCTTCAACTTTGTAAACACATAAACAACTCTCTCTTCTGATCCTATTTGAAATAGACTCATCGGCTCAATGTCACCATATACATCACACTCGTTCACGACACTTTAACATGGCAATTGACGTCCAAATGCCTTCAAGGAAAGATAAAGCATTAAGTCATTCTCTGAAGGGTGGAAACGGTAACCGATCCACATATTTTCCATCCCTAGATTTACTATGAACTAAGGCCACAAACAAAATAAATCGAAACAGAATAGAAAAACAAAACACACAAATTTAGATGGTTCAGCTTAACAAGAAAGCCTATTTTCACAAAATATAGTGGCAAGATTTCCCAAAGTTGTTACCCAGTGGATACACTTAGTCGATCTATCTATAATTCATGAACTATAGAGTTTGATTCCAACATAAATACCTAATGTCAATCAAATTCATCCCAACGGGCTGGGCTGCCCATAAAGATTCTCCATACCACCAAAGTAACAGGACATTCCAAGAAGATATGAGAAGAAGATTTAGTTGGAGCCTCATGACACAAAGTAAACAGGCAGAGTATCAACAGGAAGTGGCCTTCGAGGAAGATTACACAGGGTACACTATCTGCTTGTTTACCGCCACGAAGACCACGACCATAATTCATTATTGTAGTAATTTAAGGTAATTTTGCCACTAAAATATATCATGTCGCCACTAAAAGTATGATAAAAATTTGACTTTTTGTGACAACAACTAATCGTGGCTAAAAATTCATTGTTTAATAGCTGTAAGTAATCTAATATGATAATTTAGTCAACAACATTATAATGAATATGCAAGTTAACAATAATATCCTGAGTCAAATATGGATTCATATATTACAAGCACAAAACTTTCCAAGGTCACCGACTTAATGTTAAGACTCTTTTGTTTTTATCCGAGAACAGAGGAATTTGAAAAACATGACACTAATTATGCATTTTAGATTTAATGCAACTAAAAAAAGTGCCAAATGGAATACTATCTATATCTTTATTAATGTCATTTATATATTAAAGCAGTTAGATGGTTTATCTTTAAATTTTTGCGGCTCATATCGTTTGAGGATTATTAATCCGACGGTCTTAATTGAATGTTGATATCTTTTACAACTCTAAAGACTATCATCTCTCATATAACTCTTTCTCCCTCTCTATCTTATACACCAAACTCTCATACGTATATAACTCTTTTTCTCTCAGACATTTTAAATACTCGCCCATTTCTCATATAATTCTCTCTCTATCTCATATCTGTTTTAAAAACACACTCTTTTATCTTTCATACTCTCTCTCTTAACATTGTTTGTCTTGACGATCCTAAATGGGCTTCTTTACTCAAAAATATTCAAAGTCAAACTAACCATCAATAAAAAAGTAACAAGTGATACCAATGGCACCAAAAAAAAAAAATCAGAGCCAAGCTAATCAGCAATAAAAAAATAATAAGTGATACCAATTGTATTAAAAAAACTAAAAAAAACTCAAAGTCAAGCTAATTACCAATAAAAAAAATAAGTGAATCTAATTGCAAAAAAAAGAAAAAAAATATTCAAAACCAACTATAATATTTTTTTCCTTATTTGCATCACTTTCCCCATGCCAATGTTCATATTTTTTAGAATGCTTGAATAGTGCAAAATAGACACCAAAATGAAAATCAATTTTTTTTTTAAGTATCGAAATTTTGATTTTGTTGATTTGGTTTAATTGCAACGTTAAGAAAAAGTTAAAACAATAATCTCCAAAAAAAAATTAATTTTATTGGAGATTCTCAGATACACCATCTCTCATTGCTATTACTAGGTGCCATGAAGACCACAATCATAATCAAATGGTAAGCACTTGTAACACCCCGCATTTTCTTTTATATATGTATATAGATATATAGTAAATAATTGTGGTAAAAAAATGTGGATATATGTAGTGATGTGTGTTTGAATTTGGTTGATTGGAAAAGTAGAGATTTAAAATGTTAGTGGAAATAATAGTTGAAATTTGGTTTTAATAAGTGAAAATATGAAATTTTAGGTCCTAGAACTTGTATTAAATAGGTTTGGTGTAGAAATATGTGTTGGAGAGGTTTGGGATGGATTTGGTTGGCTTAGGAATGGATTGGAAATGGAAAAGGAACGAAGACAGGCTTTGAACAGTGCATGTGAACAGTGCACTAGCTGCAACTTTAAGCCCGATTTAGAACTTGATGCAGTCAATATCTCTCAAAACTCAAAACATGAAAGTTTTAGAGATCTTTCTTATCATTCCATAGCATCTTGAATCATCTCAATCGGGGCTCGGATAAGCGAGTTATGCCCAGATAACGATGGGCTGTTTTGGCAGCCCAATTAGCTTGAACAATGCACGTGAACAGTGCACTGGCTGCAACTTCAAGCCTGATTTAGACCTTGATGCAGTCAATATCTCTCAATAATCAAACCATAAAAGTTTTAGAGCTCTTTCTTATCATTCCATAGCATCTTGAAGCATCTCAATCAGAGCTCGGATGAGAGAGTTATGCTCATATAACGAAATGATGTTGAAATAGTCCAATTAGTTTCGTTTTGCATTTAATGCCTCCATTTGCATCCTAAATCAAAATATAAGAATAATAAGTATTTTTAGGCTTCAAATAAGTATAAAAGGCTTTAAGAAGCATCATTTATCACCTTTTATTTGCAAATATCGCAAAACTTCATTAATAGCCGATTCGGATGGGTAAAATATAAACTTTAGTGTTTCAGGCGTACGTTGATTTGGGTTTTGAGATAAATCATAAAAATAAATATTTTTAGGTTAAAATAACATTAAAAATGATTCTGGAACGTCGACAAACCTTATGGTAGTCATATGGATCAAATTGGAAATTCTTAGTGGTAAAACCGTAAATTTGGAGGAACCCAAAACAGCCTATGAACAGTATTTTTCGGGGCTGCTATGTTTTAAACTCATTTTCATCTCATTTGCTCTCATTTCCTTCACTCCCCTCACAGCCCCACACCTCTTGGAACCTTAGAGAGCATTAGAGAGGAAGAAAGGAAGGAAAAAACAAGAGATTCAAGGGTAATTCAAGATCAAATATTCTTGTTCTTTACACCAAAGCTAAGGATTTGAGGTAGAAGTTTTCTCTCATTCACTTACATTGAGGCTAGGGTATTTATATATGTATGTTTTGGCTATCAATGATATATATATGCTATGGAATCATCCTCTCTTAGGCTTTTTGCAAGGATTACATGTTTTGAACAAAGTAGGGTTTAATACCCATGAAATCTCCTTTCTAGTTTTAAAACCCTAATTTTTGAAGAGTGATGTATTTTCTTCCTAAATGCTTTCTTTATTATGGATTTCGAAACCTTAGTGCTTTGTGTTGGGTAGAAAAATGATGTTATTGTGATTTCATGTATTTTCTTAGTTGGTTGTGAAATTGTTACATGATATATTTTGGAGATTTTGGATAGATGCTTGTAAATTGAAATGAATGTTAGAATTATATGCTTGGTTGGGTTGTTTGTGATGCACATGAGTGAGAGGTTCCTTTTAAGGATGCTCACCCCTTCCCAAGAGGTTCCCGGTAAGGATGTTTGGGAAATAATGTAGTGATTGGTGAGAGGTTCCATGTAAGGATGCTCATCCATTTTCAAGAGGTTCCCGATAAGGATGCTTGAGAATTAAAGGTGACCTAAAGGGGGGTGGAGGTTACCACAAAGTATGTCACCTACCGAAAGAATTATTGGGAATTAGTTATACTAATTAATAGTTATTATTTGTATGTGGTGCTCGTTTGTTTATTTAAGTAATATTTTTAAATAAACTTGAGATTCTTTTTAAATGTCACTACTTTATTTCAAATTATGTATCTATGTTATGTTAAAATTGAGACCGACCGGTTTAAATGCTTTTCTAAACTTTGTATGGGTTTGGAAATTTTTTTTTACAGAGCTTCATGCTCATCCCCTATCGCTAACATTTTTCAGATTACCCGCTTGAGGAGAAGGACGTAAGGGTCGAGGAGCCTGCTACTTGGGAGACTCCACTAGACGGGAGTGTGGATCTCGAGGTGGACATATAGAGCGACCTCCTTTCCTTTTGTACTAGACTAGGATATTTTTTTGGAACATTGTGTAGTCTAGCTTCTTTTATTTATTTCGCTGCGCTTTTTTAATTAATTTTTGAGATGTAATAGCCATGACTTGGGCTTATTTTTTTGGATAATGTTGTAAATATTCGTGGATGACAAATGCAGTCTTGTTTCTTAAGGGATTATATTAGTGCTCTCATGATATGAATGATTTTAAAATGTAATGTCGTCCAGGGTGTGTTTTGGGGTGTTACAGCACTCTGATTGAGAAATGGGCAGAATTAGTATAGTTCCAAACCAATTGATCATGTGAAACTAATCACATATATGTATACCCATAGTTTGCTCCACATTGAACCCATGTTCAAAATCAATTAAGGAACACACACAAAAACCTTCTTCCATATCTACCAATGGCCCCCCTCAAGTTTTTAAAATTATATATTATACCTCTAAATAATTTTTTGATTATATTTTTCATGCCCCTCAAAATTTGAAAACTTTATTTTATACTCACATTATGATTTGATTATATTGCATCAAAACCATTCAAATTGTTTTATTTTTCATAAATCATTAAATTTTAGTCTTGCACATATGGAAAGAATTTTAATTATTTTGAATAGTGCAATGTAATCAAATCAATCGTCTCTGTGTAAAATAAAATCAATGTACAATTTTAGAGAAAAAAAAATAATGCACCCCTTTCTTTGCTACTAAAATATAGCACACCCAAGTAGTACATTTAAGAGATTCAAAATGGTAAACAACATGAATTGGATAAATCTGGTTTCTCTCTCATCATATTTTCCAAAAGTACGATGAAATCTAGTTATAGTCGAGTAGTTACGTGATAAAAGTAAGTTGAAATTATTATTTTTTTGATAAATTGATCAAATTTTTTAACGTCTATTAATTTGGTGAAGATTTATCGATTTTATTAAAAATGGGTATATTACAATGTATCAAG